TTGTGGACACGGAACCACATGCCTATTGTCTGGAGAGCAGGGTGGCAGTGTCAGGATCCTGTTGAAGGTGCTGTCCGCGTGTCTGTCTTACTCTCCCTCCCTCCTCTCTTCTCATCCCTCTTACTTATGAGAGAAATAAATGAAATAAACCTTAAAATATATTTATGTATTTATTTATGACTTGAATACTCGTTTTTATTCAGGGGAGCGTTGTAGATGAGTATGCATTTCACATTGTTCTGCATCTCTAAACTTAAGAAATTATAATAAAGGCTTTTTTTCATTTATTTTATGTATGTTTACAAATAAATAATTAGAAAAAATAAGACAAATCCTTTTTCTGTAGAAAAAGGAGTTATCCTGTAGTCTAGATATTGCCTTGGCAGTAATGGAAGATATAGATAAGTAAACCACTAGTGCTATTTCCATAGTATCTAGAAAGTAACTTGCTGTTTTGTAATACATTATTAGTCCATAATGAATTTTCTTGTTTTTCTTCTTTTTAGACATTTTTGAGTCATCAATTTTATAACTTTCCATAAGTAATTTCAGATTTTTTAAATAGAAACTTAAAGCTATCATCCAGTTCATTCCTGGATTGTCAATATTATTCCTTTTACTTCTAGTCCTGTGGTATGATGATGTGGAGAGCTTGGTCTTTTTATCTTCAAATTAGCAGTTCTTAAGAAAACACTCACTGTTCATGTTCACTCATGGATCCAGTCTTATTGGTTGTTTCTCACACATTGAATTCACATGCTGTTCTTAGTGAGCAGATGTACAGAAGCAGAATTTCTGAAAAAAATATTTTGTTCAGATAGTTATATTTAAGAAGGAATAATATGAAGCAACTTTAAAAAGAAAATGAAATTTGGAAACAGCAGGTGGCATGGTGGTTAAGGGCTCTGGACTCCTACATGACCGACCGCAGTTTGAGTCCCAGACCTGGCAGACTTGCTCCCTCACTTTCCTTCTCTCTCTCTCTCTCTGTTCTTCTCTGGTCAAATTAAAATAAGTAAATAAATAAATAAGGCTAAATAAAATAATTCTTTTTAAAAAAAAATGGAATTTAACTATGAGTTTATTTTAGTACAAACAAATTTGAAGCCATGCATTATTTTTTTAAGGTTTTTGTCATAGGATGTGTGCTTTTGCCAAAGAGAGAGAGTGAGAAGATGAGAAATCACCTTCCCAGGTAGGATAGCCACACCACAGTCTGATCTCGTCTCGTCTCTTCTCTTCTCTTCTCTTCTCTTCTCTTCTCTTCTCTTCTCTTCTCTTCTCTTCTCTTCTCTTCTCTTCTCTTCCTGGGATTTTGGGGCCGGGTGTGAGTCTTAAGCTGCCAGATCCAAGACTCAAATCATGGTCGACCATATGGAAGTCCAGTGCCTTAACTACTACACAACCTGTAAGACCCCATTTATAGGTTTTTCATATTGGGCATTTTCTCTTTCTTTTTTTTTTTCTTTTTTGGAGAGGTTTTTGCTATAGGGCGCATGCGCTCGCCAGAGAGAGAGACAGAGAAACAGAAAGTGAGACATCACCCCCCGGGGGGATGGCCACACCACAATCCCTTCTCCTCCGTTCTCCTCTCGAGATCTTAGGCATGCACGCACACGCGCCCAGCGTGAGTTTAAGCCACCAGGTCCAGAACTCGAACCGTGGTCTACTACATGGGAGTCCAGCGACATAGCCATTACGCTAATTGCTGGTCCCAATATTGGGCATTTTCTGTGACCTCTTATATATCTTGTCATTTGCACATAAAACCAATTTGACTGGAACTTAAGGACTTATTTATCTTTGGATACCCTCTCATTTGTGTGTTGTGAGTGAGAGAGACAGAGGGGGGAGAGAGAGAGAAAGAGAGATTTTTAGAACACATACTCAAATAAAACTCTTGATTTTAAACATCTTTCCATACTGTACTGGATGGAATACTGTAGTATAATTTGCCAGTATATACATTTTTCAGATTTTAGAATGTTGAATCTCTTGGGACCAGCAGATGGTGTAAGGTTACATTGCTGGACTCCCACATAATCAACCACAGTTGAAGTCCCAGACCCAGTGGCCTAAAATACATGCCAGGCGTATGTGCGTGCATGCTCAAAATCCCAAGAGGAGAATAGAGAAGGGATTGCATTGTGGCCATCCCCCCCCGAATGGTGACTTCCCACTTTCTATTTCTCTATCTCTGTCTCTCCAGCAAGTACTCATGCTCTATAGCTAAAAAAATCTCTCTATATAAAAAATGTTGAATCTCTTATTGCTCCCATTTTTCTAGTCCCCCCCACTTCCCAGTGTCTTACATCCAACGCTCTGCTTTTATATCTTGATATAATTTTATTATCTCAAACATGATGGACTTTGGGGAGGAAAACTCACTACTCTGATCCTTAATCATTCAACATATATTTAATGGGCATCTTCTACTTTAAGACATGTACCTGAACACATACATAAGTTAATGAAAAGTCAAAGTTAAGGAGTTCAAATATAGGCATGGCTTGAGATAATAGAAGTTAAAGTGACTCAAGAGTGAGCCCAAGGTCATTAGAATACTTTATTACCACCACCCACATAGAGGACTAACCATATTGTAATTCTGAGTACCTTCACTAGTGTTTAGTTCTGATTCCTAGATCCTGATCCTTGTCTTTGGTACTTAGCCAGTACAGATTGGCTAGGAATTGGGTGAGTGATTTTATGGAAAAATGGCTCTAGCAACAGATAAGTGAGTAGAAATGGAGAATAAAACATAGAACTGTCTGGAAATAAAATTATACTTTATATTGCTAAGGCATTTTGCAGTTTACACAGTATACTTTAGTATAAACTATTATTAGTTTCATACTCAGATGAAATCAAAGCCACAGGTCACTCAGCTAGCAAGTAGTAAAGACAAGTCTCTTTACACTCTTAAGTCTAATGTTCATTCTGCTGTAGACATTCTAGGAACCACAGAACTGATAAAACAAGCTGATAAATTCATACACTAGAATACCAGCATTAATAAAAAGGAACAGACTTGTGAATACCAGAAACATTTTTCTCAGTAAAAGAAGCTTTACATGCTTTTAAAAAAGCTTTCTAGAATACAGAATAAATAAATCTAATCAATGACGTGAAGTCAGAGGGAACAAGAATACCAATTTCTGCAAGTTATTTTGAGATGCATCAAAAGTATAAAATGGATAGAGGAATGTATAGACATGAGTTATAAAGCAAGTATTGTGAAATGGTAATCATGGAGTCTAGTTTTTCTGCTCATGGGTGTTCACTATATAGTTCTTTTAACCTTTTTATATATTTGAAGGTATTCACAAAAGATTAGAAAAAATATCATGTTTACTTTAATATTTAAAAAATGCATGTGAGAAAAAAAATTTTTAGCTTTTCAAGAAGAAAAGCAGAGTAGCAGGAAGGACTGTCTGTGAAACAGTCCTCCAGTCTCTAAAAATGGCTCCATATTGGCTCTGAATATGGTTCTGCCTAAAACCAAGGCTGATTTATATTTCAAAATCTTTTCCATTCTTGTGACTCCCTGATTCCTGTTTAATTCGTTATCATTTACAAAACTGGGACTTGCCATTTTTTAAATAATAGAACATGCTGTTCTTTGTTTCCTTTTAGACAGAATTCCTAGATTAGATGAAGGGAATGCTGTAGAGATGTTATATCTAGATTTTAGCAAAACAGCTGACAGTATCTGATTGTAGGCATGATGGAAAATGTGCACTGGACAGTAATGTAATAAAGTAGATTTGCCAAGCGAGTTACCGAATGTGTAGTAGTCCTCACTGATGGTTTATTTTCATTCTGAAGAAGTATGTCATCAGCTTTGTCTTCAGTGGTGTTTTCATCGGTGAGCTTGATGAAAATATTATGTTTAAAACAGATAACACAAATATGGGTGGAACATAGAATATATCATTGATAGACTAAAGGCTACAAAATTATATCACTTAAAGGAATTATAGGCTGAATTAAAAATTGAAGAGCTGTGTGAAACAGTATAAATTCTTACATCTAGTATCAGAAAAGTGAAGTGTGTATATTCAAAAAGGGTAAATATTGGAATTGATTTAAACTTGGCATAGGGTTTTTAGCAGACTCTAAACCTAATTTGAAACAGTAATGTTTGTCACTCAAAGTGGTAAGTGTCCATAGACCTCAGTAATAAAAGCATAGGGTCTAGAACATGAGATTGGCTGGTAAATTTGATTTGGGATATGACAAAAAGAGTAAAGGTGTTATTAGCCCCAAATTCTAAGGGTAGGGAGGGTGTCATTTTCTGGCACAGAGCAAACTGTAAGCAAATAGGTAAAGGATGGAAGGAAAGTAAAATCAAGATTGCCTTCGGGCATATAGAGTTTGAAGTACCAAATCAAGGTGCGGAATAACCATTATAATGCCTGCATCTAGAGTTCCAGTGAGAAGTAAGGAGGCTTTTCAATACATTGGGTCATTGGGAAAGTCATGACACATTTTTGCATAGAAAAACACATCATGACTTTCCTGATGATCTAATACTTCAATGATTCTTAATCAGGGGTGATTTTGTGACTGCCCCGTCTCCCCCAGGATATTTTCCAATGTCTGCAGACATTTTTGGTTGTCAGTTATATATGTATATGTGTATATGTGTAGCAGTGTGGAGTGGGGTGGGGAGGACGCTGCTGGCATCCGTTTGTTGGAGGCCAAGGATTCTGGTAAACACACTGCAATGCCTAGGACAGCCCTTCACAACAAAGCATTATGGCCCAGAATATCAGTAGAGCTGAGTTTGGTATATTTAAAACTCTTGGTAGAAGATGTAGATAGAAAAGAGATTGGAATAATGAGGAGGAACCAATAAAGAGAAGTAAACGTGGAAAGGGATGGACTTTTCTTGATTATTTCCAGTGAACAGTCTCTTCATCAGAGGTGTTGCACTTGCCCCCAGTAAGGTAATAGTTTACATATAAATTAACTATTTTTGTGTTGAATTTTTATAGCTCTCCACACAAGGAGATGCAAGCCAGGTGATTGGGCCTCTTACTGAAGGACAGAGAAGAAATGTGGCAGTAGTAAATTCACTGTATAAATTACACCAGTCAGTAACAAAGGTAACCCTTATTTCTATTAAGTTCTTTTGACTTAATTTCTTCTTTCTTCTTGCCTCAAATTAGTCAATGTACAGATTATTATTTCGATTTTTGGTGAAGAATACAACGAAAATGTGATCATTGTAAAATAAGCTAAGGAGTTAACTCTTTTTAACCAGTCTTTGATCCTGGCCTTTATTATTTGTGTGCCTTGTTGTCCTCACATTTGGTTTAAACCATATGAACTATAGGTCATCAAGTTAATCAAGTTTGTTTAATGAATTATTTAAGGGTAAATCATATGTGTTTCACACTTATTAAGCATAATTTGATATTATGTAGGTGGTAGTCAATTATAGCAAAGCTAATGACAGAATCAGAACTTTCAAGCCTTCCAACATGTCAAAAAGGTTCTATCTTTGCACAAAAAGGTGGGGAGGAACTGAATTAAAAACTCTGAATTTTTGTGACATAATCACTGATGACTACTTGCAAGTAGATAATGTATATTCTTTTCTTTTTTGCTATTTTTCTACAAAGCATTTTTTAAAAATGGCTGAGCTTTAACTTGCTTGCTGCCATATTTTATGTTTCAAGTGAACCGTGTTCTTAATTGCTAGGAAAGCAATACTTTCAACCTCATCTATGACCTTTGAGTAACTTGTGTAATTATTCTCTATAGGTCATTTTCAGATTACTTAACATGTAGATCATAAATATTTAGAAGCTCTGAAAGAAGCAAAAGATTGGATGATCTCAAAAACTTGACTTCCAATATGAGCTTTAATATGCTAGATTTTATTTTAAGATAATTATAACTATTATTAATTTATTTAAAAATTTAAAGTTATTTCTTAAGTTAGGGGTTTCTACAAAAATTTTGTGCACACAGTAAAGCATTACAAATAAATCTCAGGAGAACACAATTATCAAAAACACTGAGTGATGTATTTCCCATTTTCTTTAATCATTACTCTAAAACACCACAAGCAATGAAAGGTTGTGTTTTACTTAGCCTGATTTAAATGTGTTTATTGATATTTTTAAATTTTTCATGATATTTGTATCGATTCGTAAAAATGGCCATGTGTGATATTTGTATTTTTTAAAACTTGTTAAAAATTGAAACTAGCCTTAAGAAAAGTTATTTTTAAAGAGATTAGTAGATATGCATTGCATTATAATGACTTATTCAAGCTAAAATTTTATCATTGAAACTTCCATAATGTGAACAAGAGAAAGCTAACTCTTAGTATTATTAATATTTCAATTATTTGAAGGGTGTATTTGCTTTAAACTGGAAAGTATTTTCAACTTATTCTAATAAATACTAATGAATTCTAAATTCATATCTGTAATATAACTATAAAGTTATAATATTTTGTATGTAACTTGTGAAAAGGCTTTATCATGTTATGATCAGAGTTAGTATTTACAAAAATAAGAGACATGAACAAAATTATAACAGGATCAAAACCTTGTTTTAGGTGGTTTCCAGTCAGAGCTCATTCCCACCAGCAGCTGAGCAAACTATAGTTTCAGCCCTAAAGGTAAAAGAATTTAATTTTTGACTCGATTAAGCAAAGTGGTTTTAGAATTGTTTGAACAGGAGATGTCACATTTTAAAAATTCAAAATCCCTCCTATAGAGCTGCTCCCATGGCTTAGTGGTTAAGTAACCTTGACCCAACATGGCTCACCTCAGTGAAAAACACACCATGCTAGTGTGCTTGCATGACCCAAATCCTGACAAGGTGGAGAAATGGAGGATAAGGGATTGTGTCATGACCACACTCTATTATGGTTTGTTTTCTCCCTTTATCTCTCCGTCTCTCTCTGGTGTACACACATACCCTCCGGTTTACAAAGAAAACAAACAACAATAAAACAGGGCCAGTCAGTGGCATGGTAGTTAGGGCAGCTGGATTCCACATGACTGACTGTGTAGCTCAAGTCCTGGACCCAGGGAACCAGCAGTTAGCGTAATGGCTATGTCGCTGGACTCCCACGTAGTCGACCGCAGTTCATGTCCCGGACCCGGTGGCTTAAAACTCATGCCGGGCACGTGTGCGTGCGTGCCCAAGATCCCGAGAGGAGAATGGAGGAGAAGGGATTGCGGTGTGACCATCCCCCCTAGGGGGTGATTTCTCGCTTTCTGTCTCTATGTCTCTCTCTGTCTGTCTGGCG